GGAAGAGAAAAATCCAAAAGACTAAGACTAAAAACACGACTGGACTAAAGCTAACGTTTCAACAGCATCAGTTTTTACATCAGTCAATGATGAATTCTTTTTGGCTCATTTTTTTGCCTGTCATGGACGGAGCTGCCAGTTCTACACAAAAAAAAGTCCACAGAATTAAATTCATTCTTCAGTGAAAAGAGAGAAAGAAGAGAGTGACAGGAGCAGAGACGTGTGCAGCCATCTGTCTCAGGGTGAGAGGAGGGACGGGGGAGACAGAGGAGGAGGGGGAGGACAGAAACACAGACACCGTAAATATATACACATACAGGGTTAAATGTGTGGGTGTCTGATGTCACGACAGTTACATCCAACGGATCCTGTCGAGAAATTTATGGGATCGCGATTAACGCTAACAATTATTATTATTTTATTTTTTTTACATTTACCAATATTTAATCTCTTCATTCATGAGGGGAAAAAAATAAATTCGTACTTTTTCAAAAGACTTTACAAGATAATCTTCACAAATTAATGTGCGCCCTCTGCTGGTATTATTTCTAACAACACGATTAAAACAAGGATTTTTTTGTGACGCAACAATTCAATTCCTGTATAATATCCTAAATACTATGATACTGATACAAGTGCACAATGTCACTAGTAATGTGTGAGGTAATGGCGACGCCTTGTGGCTGAATGTAAACAGACAGCTAACAGGAAATACAGTATGAAAAATCTGAGAGATAAAGGATAAAAGTCAAAGTAAAAATATTTTTAAGATTAGAAAAACAAAATGTTCTTGTTACAGTAGTATTTGTTGATGATTAAAGATGTTCCTGGTTCCAGCCCAGAGGCTGTTCAGTGATTTATCACCGTCATCCTGAGTGAAGTAACGTGTGAATGTTACTTCACCTCCTTCTTCCCTGACACTGGCTTTAATGACGGCCACCGTCGGTAAATGTCGGGTGGTGACTCATCGTCAACTGATGGGAAATGACACAGAGGTCTTTACCAGAGGCAGGCTCAGCGCCACCTAGTTTACAGGTACTGCAAGGAAATTATTTCATCCTCATGTCGGTTAAACTGCAGTCACTGGCGATGGGAACTGAACTGATTCACTACTTTCACAATGAAATCCCCAAATACGCTGGAATCGCTCGTGGAGTAGTGAGGTGTTTACTGCAGTTTTGTGAGAAAACAGCTGCATATACAGTAACAGGTATCAGGTGATATCGGAATCGTAAAATTAAGTGTTTGGACGATATCGGTTTATCGGATATTAGCAAAACATTAATATCTGACATCCATACATATATAAATATATAATTACATATATACGTTTATATATAGACACAAATACATATATATAAATATATATACATATATATAAATGTACATATATAAATATATATATAAATATATAAATACATAAATACATATATAAATATATAAATACATATATACATATATAAATATATACATATATAAATATATGTATATACCTTCTGACTCCACGTCTACAGACTAATGGTGTGAGAAAGTCCACACACACACACACACACACACTGGTGACCGGTAATGAAGTGAAAAGTCAGACGTGATTGAGAGGCCGACTGAGAGTTGACCCAAAGCCCGGTCAGCACATTCATCAGGATGGAGTGAGGAAGAGCACTCGTCTTCGTCTGCTTCTGTCTGTCACTGACACTTTTAATCTGATGAAGTTTTAAATCTGGAGCATCGATACACAACCATCCCATAATGAAACCATCGTGATGGGACGGGGTTTTTGTCACGTTTCACTTCTTTTTTTCTGCCTCTGTATCTTTGTGTTCTTTCTGCACTTCTTTTTACTGCCTCACTTCTTTTTACTGCCTCTGTATCTTTGTGTTCTTTCTGTATTTGAAAAGTATTTCAATACTATCATAATATTTAACTCTGGAGAAGGAACTGAACAGAAGAAAATGTCATAACAAAACTGATAACAAAAGTCACATAGAATGGAAACAGAGCCCCCTGGTGGTTTGGATGAGAGCTGACAGATTCAGTAAAGTAAGTAAGAAGTAGTAAAAAAGAAAAGTAAGAAAAGGGGATTCAAACTTTGCTCCTTCAGGAAGCTTGGAGACCTGAAGTGAAGTCATTATTAGTCACATTAGTGGTTTAACTACAGTGACATTGGAGGTAATGTGGTGGTTTTAGAAAACTGCAGTTGTTACTACTGGAATTAACCAAAGAAACCTCAGCTGGAGTGAGCTAAGTGATTTTTTTTCTTCAGTTTCTAAATTGTTGTAAGACACAACACTTGGATGAAATAAATATTGTAGTATTTGATGTAGTAGGAGATAAAAAGCTGCAGGACTTGATTGTTAACGAAACGTTTAATAAAAGAAAAGTCAACGATATGGCAGATTATTCCTTTAATGGCAGCTGGTAAACTACCGCCATCTACTGGGACAATATTCCATAACTATTTCCTCTCAAAAAAATGATGACACATTCAAGGTGTGAGAAATATTATTTTTAAATTAATCATGTTTTAATTGTATTGATCAGGCGGTGATTGACAGACAGTGTCAGTGATTTCCGTCTGTTCTGACTTGATGCAGAGAGGACACCGCATCCCTTCCTGCCAGCTGCCACTTGCAGTGGTGGTGATGCTGCTCCCCGTGTGTGGAGGAGGGAGAGGAAGAGGCGGAGGAGGTTGATGAGGAGGAGGAGGAGGAGGAAGAGGAGAGCGTGTCCGCTGCCCAATGACAGAGCAGGATGCTGAGAGGAGAGGCTGCTCGGGTGAATGGAGGCGACAAGATGCCGTCTACAGCGGTGAAGGAGAGGCATTAACATCGACTGAGGTACTCCGATCTTCCCCGTCATTATTCCATTCTCCTCCTCGGTCTAATCTTCACGACACGTCAACACCAGAGGCGCCCTTTAGCCGTTTTTTAGCCGTTTTAGAAGCGAACAGTCGGATCTATCATCTGGACTGGCTCACGCACACACACACGGGCGCGCGCACACACACACACACCGCTCGTACACGCTGATGTATGTGTAGCAGTGTTGTATAGTTTATATATATTTCCTTTTTTTTAAATCGCTTCGCGTACCGCGAGTTCGGTCGATACATATTACGGTGATGCGTTCAGGTGCTCATTCACGCCGGAGCCGTCGAAAACGTTAGGCCCGCGAAGGTGTCAGCGACTCCGGTCTGCCTCCTCATGGATGCAGCATCGGGTGAAGCTGTGCCTCACACCGGCGTGGAGATGATGTCAGTTACTACACGGCGTACGGTCCGGGTTTTTATAACGTTTATTTTAAGGACGTCTTCAGGGACAGGTTCAATTATGTGGACTAGAGTTTTTTTTGTTTTTTTTTTTTAAAGCCACTCATTGACATGTTTCATGTCTAGTTAACGTTGGAGGCCCAGCAGTGAAGACATGATGAGGAAGGTTACGGTAAAGTCAAGGTAATCTTAAAAAAGGCTGCAGAAAAAAAACGTTAAATTAGCATTTGGAAAAAAAAGATGCCAAGAAAGAAAAAGAAAAAGAAAAAAAAGATGTAGGCGATGTGGAGTGAGGTAGTTAATGTGATGAGAGGACACTGCAGCACACAACCAGTTGATACTGAGACATGACAGGAAATGAGTCAACGGGATTTTTACACAGAAAAGATCATTTTCTACGTGATTTTAAAAAAAAAAAGAAAATCTGTAATATTTCATGTAAGTCTGAAAATCCCACCCATCAGGGCTGGATGTAGCCTGCTGCAACTGCAGGGGCAAGAAGACGTTTGGGGGCTAATTCTCATACGCTGGATTTTATGTAGTGATTATTCAAACATCACATTGAAGGTAGCTACACAAAAACATAAACTGACCAGTGTTCTCTGGTTTCTGTCAACTGTTGATTAAAATCTACGATTAAAATTTAGATCTTAGTTCGCAAAAAATTCAACGTAGCTGTCCCGAATCCCAGAAGTAAGAACTACAAGTATAAAAAGTACAATATAAATGATCAAAATGGTGGCTTTAAAGAACGCTGCATATATTTGAACGATAATCCCATTTAGAGGAAAATAGACAATAAGGCACATTAGGTGTTGGTGCTGTGACTGTGACTAGACCTGATCTGGTGATAAACTTGCTTAAAAAAGAAAAGAAAATGTACATTTGTACTCTGAAATATACCATCAAATTCCCCGGCCGTGGGAAGGAGAACCCTGACTGGAATTTTCCATGTTATTCCATGTTATTCCGTGTTATTCCGTGTTATTCCGTGGCCCTGCTGCCACTTCCAAAGACAAGTCCTGTCTCTATTATCAACGTATTGAAAAGGCTATTTATAGAAAGCAGTGTTCGTGCTGCGGCATGTTCCCTGACCTCAAATCCACCAGAGATGTTAGCTAACCGTCTGGTCAGAGCTAATAACACTGAGTGACGATCAGAGCGAAACCAGTGACTGGACCGATGGATCCACGGACGCCCGCGGTGATATCGTCCCTTACCCATCTCCTCCCCCCCTCCCCCCCCCACATCTGTTCCTCCTTCCACACCAGTGCTCCCTGAATTATCACTCATCATTTCTCCACTGGCTCCTGTTGGCATTTGATGTGGCGTGAAACCGTAACTGGTTATTAATGGGTTTATAAGCTACTGGATTTAGCATCAGCGCTAGTCTCAGGCTGTGAAAACAGCCATGGAATAAAGAAAAATATATATGTGACTAATATTTTAACTATAGAAACATCATGCTAGGGATGTCCGATGTTATCGGCTGAGCGATATTAGCGTAATTATGTCATATCTGTAAGAATTGTCAGCAGTTTTTCCTCCGATAATGAAAACCTGATAATGCGACGCTAGGGTTTCGCTAAATGATGTGTGCTGTAAGAATAGTTTTGGGGAAAAACGGCTGTATATGAAAGTGAAAGTCACCAGATGGCAGCATTGCAGCTCATAATAGTCAGCGGATTGCCGAATGCTAATGCCAACAATTGATACAGTGGTTTGTACAGATAAATAAATAAATATTATTAAATTCGGGGAGGGGGGGGTTAAAAACTGCCCCGCTATATCAGTATTGGATGATATCGGAATCGGAAATGTATTGTTGCCCTGCTATATCAGTATTAGATGATATCGGAATCGGAAATGTATTGTTTGGACAATATCGGCAAAAACGTTAATATCGGACATCCTTACTTCATAACCTTTAGAGTTTCATCTGTTATGATTTATTATGATTTGTAATAAAGTTTTTTTTTATAGATTTAAATTTTTGAATCTTAGTCACTGACATTCCCATCAGGCCTTTCTGCGTCTGCCATAATATAATTGTGTTTAGCTGCTGCGTGGCTTTGGCCCCCGCAGCATTAAAAGCACCTCATTGGCTAATAGATAGCGTTGGCTACAGCAGAGATTAATGGGTGAATGAATGACTCAGTGAGCGTAAGGTTTTTGTTGAATCGCTGTCTGAAAGTTGTAGAAAAACTATTTTATTTATTACACCGACGTTGGCAGCAGGAGTGCTGAAAATATTTGTCCGATAAACAATTAGCTAATGTCACTGACAATTAGAAAAATAAAGCAAAAAAAAAAAAAAAACCCTGAGGGATGTCTGCAGATATTTTTTAGAATCTGTCACTGATATTAACTACGCACCGACACGTTCTTCAGGCATTTGAATATTTTCTAGGCGACACGTTCAGCTGTGATTTCACCACTTTCTTCAGGCATTTGAATATTTTCTAGGATTGAATAAAACGTTGTATTGACTGAGGCGATAAAAGCGACTCATTTACAATAATATTTCCATGAATAACAGGAAATAAAATAGAAATAAAATGAATACTTTCTATTCAGTTCTACGTCATACAGTAAATATACAACACAGTCTAAATCAGCTTCTTCAAAAGTCTCACAAACATTATTTCTGTTATTCTGTAAAAACATGTGAAGGTGAGTGGGAGGACACGCAACAAATGTCCCCGGCTGGGATTAAAGAAAACACAGCATGTCAACCAAATTACTGGCGCAGCAACGTGACACGCCTGTGTTGATGAAATTAATTATTATAAAAGAAATCTATTCTAGAAAATAACAGTGAAAAAACCCCAGAACACTGGCTCATGTTTTTACCCTCAACAGGGAAACACAAAAACATCCTCATTCCTCCGAAAGCCTTATTAAGGTAAAACATCTAGACCTGCTGCAGGACGCCGACCAATCAGGAGACGCCTGAGCCAGAGTTGGTCTTTGTTGCGTACTCCGCATATTTACACTTTTAATTTAACCTCCTGGTGTTCCTCAAATTTGTTAAACGTAGCAAAGGTCATACGAGTGACATGAACTGATCTATTTAAAAATCAAGAATCTGGCGATACAATCCGTATCACAATACTAGGGCAACAATACGATATATTGCGATAAACTCTGCGATACTGTAGGTACGTAAAAAAGTGTGGTAAAAAAGTGTGGTAAAATATTGTGAAATTACATGTTTTGATAAAGTAGTGTAGAAGAAGGAATATTGTGAAATTAAATGTTTTGATAAAGTAGTGTAGAAGAAGAAAATATCATTTTCCTAAAGCGTTCCCACTCTTTTTTGTACCGTCATTTATATGACAACATGACATTTCACACACACACATACATCAATCCGTAGAATTTAATAAAACCCACATGACATTTGACACACACACACACACGTCAATCCGTAGAATTTAATAAAACCTGTGGCGGATTTCAAAACCCTGAAAGGATTTTCATCCGTAACGTCCGCAAACCTCAGGGCTTCAACCGACAACCTTTAAATGTGACCAGAACCCAAAAGCTGCTTTACTTTTAGAAGGTTACGCTTCACTTATGTCACATGACGTTTGAGGTTTGCTTTATCAGTGTTAGCCCAGACCCGGTCACCATGGAAACTGGGTCTGAGGAGTAGTCACAGGAAGTGAAGAAAGTACCTGAGTTCACGGTGATTAACGGAGTCGATTTTTCTTAATCAAACACAGAGTCCAATAAGATTCTGCACTGCAGCCGTGAGCTAAAAAAAAAAAAAAAAAAACTTGAAGTAGATATCTGTACATCAGTCACCAAACATCGTCCTCATCTGCTCTGTTATCGTACCGTCGTAATCTGTAACGTCCACCTTAATAAAAAGACGGTGTAATAACGTGTGATCTGGTGACAGCAGGAAACGACAGGTCGTTAATTACCACATTAAAAATTCAGTTCTTCTCGTTCGTCCAGACGTTTCTGCTCTATTTAAAGATTTCAATTTAGATCAGAGCTGAAAGTTTGAAGGTGACGTAGTTCCAGGACGGAGGAGGAGATTGTTCCATGAAACCACGGTGTTTCTGTTCTAAAAATCGTGTGTGGTTTAAACTCTCCTGTGTCTGAAAAGTACTGTCAACTTTCTATACAGTAGTACTGAGACAAGAGGATGCAGCAGAGGATTATGGGTAATTAGTAACATGAAAAAAATGTGACTTTTCATCGTTTAGAGATCAACGCGGTGGATATTTGTTATTAGAACAGTTTCTAGCACCGGTTCACAATGATAAACTTACTTAATTGCCAGCAGGGGGTGCTAGAGTATAAATGTAGTAGGAATGCCTTGTCCATGAATGTGAAGTCAGTTCTCCTGAAATCCTCACACTTTTTGTTTTTACAGTGACTATTCATCCTTCAAGTTGCATTAGTGCCCCCTATTGGGCCTGTATTGCTACTCCAAGAGTAATATTGACCGACTGTTCTCTGATACTGTAAGTCTACACCCAGGGCGTACTTTAAAAACCAGTGACCCACATCACAACCGCTCCGCTGTTCAAACTCTTTTCCCTCAGTGTGTGATCGATATCTCAGCAGGTCATGGATGATTTTATTTACTCTTTTGTGGAGCCGTCATTGATCAGATGTTTGTTTTAATTAGCTCGTTAACCAGCTGATGTAAAACTGCTCCGTCCTGAAGCTAACGGCACGATTCATCATCTTTAGATACGTTTCGTTTCGTGTCAAACGGACGAGGTTGAGAACAGACTGTCGTCCATTTTATCTGACCATGTTCTGACCACGCGTGTTCACTGGTCACTGCTGTTCAATCCAAACCTAACCCATTGATTTTAAGCAGGGATGTCCGATATTAACGTTTTGCCGATATTGTCCAAACACTTAATTTCCAATTGCGACATCAACCGTTACCGATACAGGACTGGTAATATTTATTTATTTATCTGTACAAACCAATGCTGGCACCAGCATTCTGCAAACATTTTTAAAATTGAAATGAGCTGCAATGCTGCCATCTAGTGGCTTTCACTTTAACATACAGCCGTTTTTCCCCCAAAACTATTTTAAGAGCACACATCATTTATCAGGTTTTCACTATCGTAGGAAAAACCAATAACGATTCTTACGCATATTTCATATTCATGCCAATATCGGGCCGACAATATATCGCTCAGCCGATATTATCGGACATCCCTAATTTTAAGTTTTTATAACCTGTGTGATTTTCCTTTTTCATTTCAAACTAACAAATCATTTATTTCTCCCTCCCTCCTCAGATCTGACTTTTCTGTGCTCCGTTTTTTGAAGATTAAATAAGTCACTCATGTTTGGTTCAGGCAGAAATCCCGTCTCATCCTGCCCCTGTTAAGGAACCTCTGGTGGCTGCTCGTCGATCCGCAGGACATGTACGGCAGTGCCAGAGCTGTAGGTCATATCGAGAGCAGCCCCGCAAGGTCCCCGCGCCTGCCCAGGTCCCCCCGACTGGGCCATAGGAGGGCAAACACCGGGGGTGGGGGAGGCGCGGGGGGTAAGACCCTCTCCATGGAGAATATTCAGTCCCTCAATGCTGCCTACGCTACATCTGGGCCTATGTACCTTAGTGATCATGAGGGAGTGGGCTCCACTGCCACCTACCCCAGAGGCACCATGACTCTGGGCCGAGCAGCCAGCCGGGCCATCTACGGAGGCCGCGTCACAGCCATGGGCAGCAGTCCCAACATTGCTTCCGTGGGACTGCCTCATGCTGACCTTCTGTCTTACAGTGACCTGGGTTCCCTCTCCATGCTGCACCACCACCACCACCAGGGGGTGCCCTCTGCCCTGCTGAGGCAGGCAGTGCGTAGTAGTGGTGGTGAGCTGCTGGAGATGCAGGCCCAGCTCAGGGAGATGCAGAGGGAGAACGAGATGCTGCGCAGGGAGCTTGACCTGAAGGACAGTAAGCTGGGGTCTTCCACCAACAGCATCAAGAGCTTCTGGAGCCCAGAGCTGAAGAAGGAGAGGATCATGAGGAAGGAGGAGGCTGCACGCACGTCCATCCTGAAGGAGCAGATGAGGGTGACTCACGAGGAGAACCAGGTGAGAAAAACCTGCCGAGCCCAGTAATTAACTGATGTCAATTTAACTCCTTACAGGTTTGATGTCCCTCTGTGGGGTGGGGGGGGTGGGGGGTGGGTGTTCTCATTTGATCTGTTTCTCTCCTTTTAAGTTTCTTTTATCTGCAACATCATCGGTCACCAGTCGGTCGGTCGAGTATTTTAGTGCTTGTGGAAACCTTTTCTGGAAGGAGTACTTTGTGTACATAAATATTTAACCAACACACTCTCCTCACACACCTGAGATGAATGATCAGAGTTGGGGGGGGGGACCTGCCGTTTTCTTCCTGTTCAAACCCACGACAGCTCTCCAGGGAATCAGGATTTTTAATTTTAGTTATTTTTGTTTTTTGTCACCTTAAACCAACAGGATGAGATTTCTGAAGGTAGATATTCCTGTGGGTGTCGTCCAGTCCCAGAGACAAACGTCCAGTCCCAGAGACAAACGTCCAGGACAGTTATCACTCACTGTCTGTTTGACTCCAGTCTGATCTGGATCAGTGGATAAAAATCTAGACCAGATATTTGATGCTGTCCACGTAGTAATGGAAAAAAAATCTGGTCTAGGTGGACTGTGGTCCAGTTGGACTGTGGTCTAGGTGGACTGTGGTCCAGTTGGACTGTGGTCCAGGTGGACTGTGGTCTAGGTGGACTGTGGTCCAGTTGGACTGTGGTCCAGGTGGACTGTGGTCCAGGTGGACTGTGGTCTAGGTGGACTGTGGTCTAGGTGGACTGTGGTCCAGTTGGACTGTGGTCCAGTTGGACTGTGTCGTGTTGATGCTTCAGCCTGAAGGTTACAGCTCACGTTGATGCTTCAGCCTGAAGGTTACAGCCGACCTCCACCAGCTCTTTGCTCAGTCTCCGTTTTTCCGTCTGTGTATTTCAGTCTTGTCATTGGACGTCACGGTCGTCATAGCAGCAGACTCCGTCAATGATAAATCTTCAAGGTCACAGCAGGACATCATTAGAGTGACCTTTCCGTCTACTCACGTCTGTTAAAATAATCTGTTTAAGATTTTTTTTTAAATCACGACATTATTTCCTAGAGCTGCGTATTGTCAAGAACCTGGCGATACGATACTTATCACGACACAGTAGCAATGACACAACAATTCCACCTGAACATCAGTTCCTAACACTGGAACAGAGGGATCTACATTTGGAATCACTAGAGAAGAAAGAAAAGAAAAAGAAAATGAACCAACACCAGGAATATTGGACTGGGAATTGGTGAGAAAAAAATGAAAACACTGATGTACAGTATCGATACGGTATTGATGAATCGGAATATCGCGATATTATCACTAAGTTTGAAGAGGCTGCAGATGAGCTGCTCGTCTCCTCTCCTCTAACCCACAGGAGAGGAGAAAATGTTACTACGATTCATTTGGTTCTTCCTGGTTGGGTGGAAACGTCTGCAGGAGCTACAGTCGCCCTCTGCTGTAAGGGTCAAAGCGCTCAGCGTCTCACTTATCCTAGTGCTCGGTGTGATGAAACAATCAGAGTGGCTCCTTGTGTACTGAGTATTTTTAGCCTCAGATTATACTCCGGAGAGTCTGGAGGTGTTGGGCTGAATATGAGAAGGTGTAGAGACCGAGGCTAGGTACATGAGGCCAAACTGAGGGCAATTATACGTTTTTATAGAAAGTAATCTTCTCATCAAATCTCATTGGTTGCCTGGTCAAAATTCAACAATGAACCTGAAGTAGTGTTCTGCACTATATAAAAAAAATTGCAGCAACATCTGTTTTACACATTAAGAAAAAACATATATTTTGCCGATCTCGGGTACGTCAATATTGTCCAAACAACTAATATTCCGATTCCGATATCAACCAATACCAATATATGCAGCCGTTTTGGTTAAAGACAGAGGAGCTGAGTCAAAAGACAATAATTCACTTCCACTTCAAAAATTATTAGGTCACATCATCGTCACAATGATTCATGATTTCAAAAATGATTAGGTCACATCATCGTACAATCAGCAATAAGAGCTGCAATGCTGCCATCTAGTGACTTTTGAGTTCATATACAGCCGTTTTTCCCCAAAACTATTTTTAGGGCACACATCATTTGGTGAATCCCAGGCATAGCTTTATCGGGTTTTCATCATAGGAAGAAAAACACGATTCCACGACTCTTACCGATATTTCATCATTATGCTAATATCGGAAATCTCTAACTTTAATAATTTAATCAGTTTAGTGATTGATGTAAACAAGAACACCATGATTTTAAGGTTCGAGGATCAGCTGACGGTAACTGATCAGTCGATGCTTTAATTCGTCGATAACTCCAAACGCAGTCGCTAGCGTCCGTCCTGCCGTTCAGAATGCGTTCACTGAATTCCTGACTTCTGCCGCGTTTCTCAGATTTCTGCACTCGCACGCTTCTGTAACTCCATTTCAGCTGAGTGGAGGTGAATAAATGCCTCGTTTGTCGGCGTGTGTGTGTGGGTGTAATTGTATATCGTCAGTCGCTCCCACACACAACCCAGACGTTAGCAGATCGGTCTGACTCACACGTTAGTCCATCCGACACTTTGGAACGCCCACTCTCTAACGCTCTGATACTGTGAAGTTGGTACAAAATACCTGGTTCGTGGACAAAGGAATGAACGTCACCATCGTTGGATGTGGGTCCGTGAACAGAGTCGCTCTGACGACGTTCACGTACGTTTGGGAAACCAGTTTTTACTGGTTGAAATAACTCGTCTGATTTTGACACATGAGCAACACTGACGAAACTGACAGTAGGAAGAAAAACAAAACAAAACAAAAACATGTTCAGGCTCGAGCCCAAATCATTCTTACCAAGAGTGAGTGAGTCATCAAGTTGGTTGTGAGAATGACCACACGTTCTTCCTCCTGGACGCGGTGTCTCATCCTGAGTGACGTTCACCGTCTCCACGGTGACTCATGACCAGTTCTGTCTGCGAGGGATTTTCTCTGATGCTCGATGATGTCCTCCCCTCCAATAGGCAGCCCAGCCAGGGCAGACAGATCTGTATGGACACAGGAAAAAAAAAAGAGGAAGTGATGACGACAGCACCGACATCCAGTGACTCATTGGTGACTCACGGGTTTGATCGGATGTAGAAGGAACGGTCGTGGAATCACTTTAACCCCAAATACTGTTATGTAGATTAAATCAGTCTCCTGTGATTTAGGTCCAAGATTTGGGGGAGTCCAGGGGAGGGAGGGGGAGATATACCTCTCAAAAATCATGACTTCATCTGAGGATAAATACTGATGTATTTCTGCTCTCATTTTAAGAATCGCTCATGCTTCACAGCGTGACCTTATCATCATGAACATTCAGCAGTGGTGTCTACCCTCAGCCTTCATCCACTGGTTGGTCTTGTTTCCCAGAATCCTTTCTGTCTGTAGATACAGACCTCAGTTATGTGATGTGTCCACGATCTTGATAAACTAAACTGGAATCCAGCAACGTGCTAATTAGCAACATGAGCAACTTCTTTATTTAGTTCCAACTAAATCTCCATTTTATTTGAGACATTTTTTTATGGGAAACGTTCTAAAATTGGTGAATTTATCACTCACATATTGTCTGTTAGCTGTTAGCTGTTAGCTCAGAGAGCTCACAGATGGAAACGTCAACACGTACGTCGTAATCCATATGTGTTTATTCACACTGGTCAGACGGTGAGTTTAAAACGTGTGAAAATGTACAGTATGGAAGATGGCAAGTCAGTAGAATTATTTTTATCAAGCAAACACTGCCCTCTGCTGGTCAGATTAACACATGCAGCGTTTGATCTATATATAAATATATATATTTTAAAAAAACATATATATTTGTTTTAAAGATTGCAGGAAGCTGGAGTCAATCCCAGCAGCCGACAGATGAGGGCGCTGTGCACCCTGGAAAACCTCAGGTTATGGTGAAAACTGAATAAAACACACAAACTTAACACAGAGAGACTGGGAATTGAACGAGCTAACTGGTGGTCTTTTTTTCTGTAAGGCAAGATCATGAACCGTGTCGTCCACCGTGTTTCTCAGTTACTTTTTTTTTTATAACAAAGTTCTTTCAGATTTCTCGTCTCTGTTCCAGGTAAAACAGTGGTGAAAACCCACCACTGTTTTAATGCTAACTGTATCATCGTAATGAAAAGAGTCCGACTCTGGTTCGTCTGTCGTGACCAAACCAAAGTTGTGTTAATTGCTCCCTCTGCCTGACTGTGTAGGTAATTACAGGCCGTTGGACCAACTTTGAAGCCATTGCTCTGTGTCTGGTGTGTGTGTGTGTGTGTGTGTGTGTGTGTGCTGCGTCACTGAGCCTCTGACTGTCTTCATACATTTGTTTTTGTTTTTCCTGTTCATTCCACTGCCCTGCAGCTGCTGGACACCAGGAGAACCAAGGTTTGTCCCTATGTTTGCACCCGCTGCTGTGTGCACAACATGGAGTCACCTTCAGTGTGATGTGTGTTTTTCTTTCCCAGACACTTTGACAATCTGTTGCACCTTAAACAAACCCCCCCCCCCCCCCCCCCCCCCCCCCCCCCCCCTCCACCCCCCCACCCCCCACCCCCCACCCCACAACCTCTACAGTAACGACTCCAAACTGCTGTGACTTCCCCTCAAAACCCAACAATCCTTAACCCGCTGTAAAGACTGGAAATTTTTTTTTAAAAAATGAATTGATTTTTTTTTTTTCAGGAAAAACACAGAAGCTGGAAGAAAAATTCCAAAAAAAGGAACTGAACTTAAATCAGTCCATGATTCCAGGAAAATGGTCCATTATTTTAACAGTAACATTTAAATCAGGAGGATTACACAGAGTTTGACACAGATTCATGGACAGATTTCAGTCAGTGCAGTTTGGGACTACGCCACCTGTAGGTCAGTAAAAACAAAAAAAGAAAAAAAAAAGTTGGATTTGTAGATTTAAAAAATGCAAAAAAAGAAACATTTCTAAAATATTTATGTTGTAAATCTTTTACAGAATTGAACAACCTGCAGTCTAGGAAAAATCAGTCATTACAAAAGGCACAGATTGATTGTATTAAAAAAACAAATTTAAAGGAGCAATTCTAAAACTTTTTAACACAAAGGCCCAACCATGGTAAACAAACAAACAACCCCCCCCCGACCCCACTGACCCCAAGTGTCATTTTAGTGACGGACCCGCGTGTGCATGTGTGTGTGTGTTTTCACATCTCTGTGCTCGTGTGTCTGTTTGTGTCCATCAGCATCTCCAGATGACCATTCAGGCTCTGCAGGATGAACTGCGTACACAGCGGGACTTGAACCACCTGCTGCAGCAGGAGAGCGGGAACCGCTCGGGCTCCGACCACTTCACCACCATCGAGCTCACCGAGGAGAACTTCCGCCGCCTGCAGGCCGAACACGACCGGCAGGCCAAGGAGCTCTTCCTGCCGAGAAAGACTCTGGGGGAGGGGGGGGGGGGGAGCGGGAGCCAGGAAAAAAAC